AGCCAAGATATTCTATCATTGGGACCCCGGAAACTATTTATTATGGGCCTGACCCAACAACTTATACGCAATTGGGACTTGTGCATAACCTGTCGTGCTCACGACAGGTTATGCAGAAGTCCTAATTGCGTCAATTGTCCTTTCGGAGGACAGGGGGATTGCATGGAGTTTGGAATAGCATATCTGATTACGTGCCAGACATGTGAAGATTAGTAGTGAAGATCAGTACGTAGGGAAACTGGCAGGACTTTGTGCGTATGGGTCAAGATGCACCTAGACGGGTTTGAAGAATCGAAATCGTTTACTCCTCTAGGCGTCCACCGCAGGTAATGCCATAACGATCACCACTATAACGTGGCTGCGGCCATCTTATCGCAGGAGCCTGTTACAGTAGCGCGAAAGACGTTGGAGGCATTTTGAATAGCATTGAAAGCTCCAGAAATAAATCGCAAAGAAGAGTGCATTGCTGTGACGACCGAATTAGCACCGTATCAAGCCTTTCGTGGCTCTTGACCGGCGGGTCTAGGTCAGGTCGTCTATGCTGTATAAATAGGAATGTAGCAGTACACAGTAACGGCGCTATCTATAAAGGTGGTCTGCTCGTAGTCTCTGTTGTTGGCTATTGAGGTAAGCATTAGTCTAATTATGGTCTCTGCCCTTATCTCGCAACTACTGGGTCGTTCCGAAAGTAATGTCGCTTTTTCCAAACGTATGCCACATCTCGTGGAACAAAGATTTGAAAGAAATTCTGGAAGCATTCGATGCAGCATTTTATTCTCTTTCTAATGGTTATAAAGTTGTTGCAATGCAGTCAATGAGCTTCCAGAAAAGAGTAAATCTGCGACCTATGCTTTTTAAAATGGCCAAATTTCACAATTTTTCTAAAATTTTTTAACCAATCTCAGAAGGAGTTCAAGTAATGGATGGATGGAGCAAACCATATAGGAAACAGCACAACTTTTTTCTACCTTTCAAGCTCGTCATAATTTTTGTACAGTATTTTTGATGGAATCGCCGAATTTTAGCAGGATCGTCTCAGACACAAGTGCATCAAACGCCGACAAGTCTTCGGATTTTGAAACTTACAAAGATGGATTATGGTTTGGCAACAATTTTACAAACCAAACGAGCATTCACAGCTTTGGTTTAGCAACTTTCCAAAATTTCGAGTACACCTTGGGGTGCCTTGAGAAGTTGAATTATGATGATTTTATCTCGGAAAACCTGATGATTAGGAAACAAAAAACAACCGCTAGAAAGAGGAGAAAAAGCTGCATTGAATGACACCCGAGTCGCTTGCCGGTTGTTGTTCTGTGAGGTTAGAGTTGACCAAGTATGGAATTTGATGGCATTAAGAAATTGATTGTAGAAACTCTGAGAAGCAAGCTAAGGAAAAGAAAAAATTACTCTATGTTCTATAGTGTTTGCTCTATCTACCTGCCACTTACACTTCTTCGGAGATTAGATACAAAACTATAGAAAAATAGCTGAACTCAACCATGGCAAAAAGCATGAGTCGCAGATTTTGGTAATTTTTCGAGAGCTCATCGAACATTATGCAGTGAAATTGCAATCACTAGAAAGGGGATGAAAAGCTGCATCGAAAGCTCCTAAGATCTTTTTTCATTCGAAAAGAGCGACATTACTTTTGGAACGACCTAATATTATACCTTGTGATGAAAAGTATCTGTTAGAAGACTGAGTGCTTTTGAGGACAGTCTCGCATAGTTCTTGATCTTTTAGGCTCCGAAGAAGAGTTGTACTCTGAAACGTTAGCCGAGAAATAAGATTGATGCCAATCTTGGCCACTGCTCAAATAATACATCAAAGTTATATGGAAGATGACAAGATTACTCGACAATCGAGCTTCAAGTGCATTTGTTTATACTCTCTTGAACCACAAGCAATTCATATCTTCGCTTTATGATAGACGATATGATAGACGCTTGATAGGTGCTTGGCAGAATTCATGGAAGCGGCTGCTAACGTAAGACAGGCAGGATTTTCCACTTTGTGTCCTCAATAGCTCAAATGCGGAGGGAGGCGATTACGATCAGGGTGATTCGAACAAAACAATGCTGTGAAGATTTGATTTATAATTGCGTTTGAACTACGGAGACGGCTCCACGCATGAATGATTCCAGTCTGCTGCAGTGGCGGACTGAGGGAATTCCTGAAATTCACTTACATCCTTACTGTAATATACACTAAATCCTTCCAAGCGCTACGGCAGTTCTGGGTCCCTCCTATCCTTAACAACATGCGTGAAGTAAGGTCCAGTTGCTGAGGATTCCAAAAAAAACGAAAATATAACGGCGGTCAGTGATGGCGACAGGAGAGACCAGTAGCCTTTATGTCGGTGAAAGATTTGCTTGCGCTATGAATCCCGGAGCGGAGCCGGTATTTTTCAACTTGACTTAGGCGGCTAAAAATTGGCACAGGGGTATTTGTGCACGCTGATTACAAAACATTGGGTTTGAGAATTATCGATTACCTGTTGACTACCTTTAACGATTTTGTTGCTGCACTTGCTATGTGTTGAAATAGCGACGTGCCATGATAGAGGAAATGAATATGTACGAAATCACTGCAGCTACCGATCTATTCATTTTCTTCTGGCTTGATTTCTCCATTTGCAAGACGAAATTGAAGGCAATGTCCGAACAAAATCTCGAATTTCAGATTTTGTGCTTATGTGGGCGTTTTCGCCACGCTGAATCCGAAAATCCGCACTGGAAAGCGCGCAGAACGGCAAAAAAGGGCTCTAGCGCAGGAGGGAAAAAGCAAGAGGGCGGGGTCCTACCCACAGTGAATTTACGCTCCCGGCTTTCGGAACAGTCTTCTCAATTCCGCTAGCCGTTCTAACATCGCTAACTTAAATCGGGAGCGAGAGAATCGCTTCGGAAGCTGGGATCTGAATTCACAGTGGGCAGGACCTCGCTCACCTGCTGAATTCCCTCCTACGTTAGGACCGTTTTTCTTCTTTTTCGCGCGCTCCTATGCGCGTTTTCGGATTCACGTAGTGACAAGGCCCGGGTAAGCACAAGAGATTTAAAATCTAGTTTTTGCCCGGACACTGCCTTTAAAGCCGGCTTTGTGTCTCATTCTTTAAAGAAAGTTACACAGGCAAAAAACAAAACAAAACAAAAACAAAAAAAACCCGATGCCTTTCAATGCCTGGATAAGATTTATTATGTCTCGTTTTAAGTGCTTGTCTAATAGTGTGATAAACATCTTTTATTAAACTAGGTACTCGAGAACGCTGTGCCACTGCTCTGATATTGTTGAACTGTACCATTTATGTTTGCAAACTAACGATTCCATGATTGTGCACAAATGTGTGGTTGTTCTTGTAAGGGTGCTTCTAAGACATATTTTTCCTTTAGTTCTTTTCTTTTTAAGCAAAACCAGAAGTAGAGAATATACTTTATGCAGAATCCAATTTTTTCTTCTAGCAATATTTGCTATTGTTTTTGTTACCTCCTCGAAGTCACTTTTACGTTCTCAAAATTAATAGATGCGCTCACATCAAATACTTAAAGGCACCGTCCACCCAAAGTGAGGGTTGATGAGATTTCGGTGCATACTAGTGTGGGCGCCCCACTAGGCAAACCCCCAAGTAGCGCCGCAAAATACTCCCTCCGAAGCGAGAAATCCGCTCCGGAAGGGACGTAACCGGAGGTGGTCACTCCGCCCACTTTGCAGGCGCGCTGATATACGCAGGGCGTAAATTGCAAACTAGTCACGGGCAATTATGCAATCGATTAGGAGTATTAGGAAATGGAAAAGGATTCACTTGTCTGCAAAGCAATTCCATCAAATAATTTAATAACACGTCATGATCAACATACAGCAATAGCAAGTGAGCTGCGCAGAAATGCGTGACAGATTGCAATGATCCAATAGTCATGTAGTAACGACGACAACGATCATTTTGACTACAAATAGTTCTTGAACTTGATGTAACTACATTGCAATGAAAAAAAAACTCACGTTCTCTTCGCATGTTCATCTTGTTTCATTGACAAAGCGTCAGCTATAAAGAAAGATCATGTTCACATCAAGAAACAACTATGCCGGATGCTGATGATAGCTATATTCGGCATGATTGAATAAAAAACGAACGGTTAAGAATACTAATACACGAAATAACACTAGAAAAACTCCGATTAGTCGCCTACGACAAGGCAGTGTACGCGCTGTGCGTGTAGCAGCTCCAACGGTGCGCCTGCAAAGTGGGCGGAGTGACCACCTCTGGTTACGTCCCTTCCGGAGCGGATTTCTCGCTTCGGAGGGAGTATTTTGTGGCGCTACTTGGGGGTTTGCCTAGTGAGGGGGCCCACACTAGTATGCACCGAAATCTCATCAACCCTCACTTTGGGTGGACGGTGCCTTTAAGACTTCGATGTGATGACTATTTGTTATTTGGAATTATATATACGAGATGTTAGTCATCTCGTAGCATATTTCTGGAGAAGGCCAGATGCTAGCACCGATGCATTGTTTTTCGGACGTCATCTGTGAAGTCGCGCGCAGCTGCAGCTAGAAGAATAGAGTCATGTATATAAGTATCGTTGCACTTGCTTGCTTCCGCCATTCGCTTTGCTCTTTAGTTTTGCCTTCTCTCAATTTGTTATATTTGTAGTTTATATCTCATTTATTCATTTTATCCATTGTTATCCATTTAATCGTGTTTATTGTTGCTATTCTTGTTAACCAGATAAAGTTTAATTACCCAAGTTTGAGGTGTGCTCGTGCGTATACGAAGTCCCGCGTGGCAATACTTTTGGTTGTGGTTTGGTATTCGAAGTCTTATAGTTCTGATATATCCCCACCACCAACCAATACAAGTGGTGCATCGACCAAATCAAGAGGTACCTTTTATTGCAGAAGATAAAGTGTGTCTCGCTTGCTTTGCACGATACGCTTTGATTGTTGCACGATAGTGGATCATCTGCACATACTAGAATTGCACAGAATTTCTTTCCTGCACTTCCATAATGACAACTACAGTAAGAGCGTACAAGGGACTGATGACCAAAAGAAGCCAAGTCGCTCTGGCATGGTTGGAAGAATCCACACAGCGTCTTCAACACCTGAAGGGAAAAAGCACACAACAAGAACAAGTCAAGGAATTCACAATGACTGTGGCGAGGTGTGACGAATATCTGGAACTTCTCGAAGCATCCTTAACTAAACTCACGGAAGCCTTCGATAAACTTCAGGATACCACAGACGAAGAAGAAGATCAGTTAGACAAGCACGCGGAGATTGCTCAAGAGACTATCATGAAGTTATACGCACACAAATCCAATACCAAGCAGATGCTACAAGAAATAACGACGGCAGCTACGCTCCGAACAAGTGGAACCGACCACCAATGTTCTGCAGCAGTCAGCAAACTTCCAACTATACCTATCCCAAGCTTCACAGGAAAGAAATGGGAATGGGACAACTTCTGGGCCATATTCAAAGCCAACGTACACGACCAGGATCTAACGGAATTGCAAATTAACTATTTACTGTCAGCCCTGAGTGGGGAGGCGAAGCAATCGATCTCGCGATTCTTCGTATCAGCAAATAATTACGAAAAAGCCATACAGCATTTGGCGAAACGCTATGGCAACAAAGATGGCATTATACTGGAACTGAACAAAAGTCTACACAACTGCTTGGCAAGAGGACCCACCACCGCAGATCAGCGTCAATTATGGGACAAACTTTCAACTATCGCAGCGCAACTAGAAGAAGCACCTCAGCAATCAGATAACAATCCAAATCTTTCTCCAGAAGTTTCACGTACGCATTAGGAAAGCAGCTATGGAGAAACGACTTAGACACAAAGAAGAAAACAATAGCGAGTGGACATTGGACCAACGGCTCGACGCCCTTGATGACGTCATATCACAAGAGGAACAGATAAACCACATGCTCTCGGTCGAAACACAAACAAGAAATCATGCAAGTCACAATACGGTGGCGATGAAATCACCGTCAGGACCGATCGGCAGATGGAAACCAAGCAACCTTTGTGAATGCTGTGGAGGTAACGGACACGGGTGGATGAATTGTTCGCAAATTCCTACAGCAGCACAGAAAAAAAGTTTTTTGGACACTGGCAGATGTATCAACTGCGGATCGATTGATCACAGAGTAATTTCATGCCTTAGCGGCAACTGCCGAAAGTGCGGCAAAAAACATCATACGGCAATATGTATGGAACAAAAGCCGGGCGAAGGCGCGCAAAATCGATCGGAGCGAAGTCAACAGAAGAGAACAGAAGTACCAAGAACACCCAAAAATCAGCCGAAGACGCCAGCAAAACCTTATTGTTCTTCGAAGCAGCATGTGGTAACGGAGTCAATCGGACAAGACACTCACGAAACGAAACAGCGAGCAACGGAAAATGCCGAAACTCCAACAGTACTACAGCTCAAGAAAGAAAATGGCTGGAGACAGAACAGAGTAGTCCTACTCGCAGGAGCAATCCAGGTACTCGACACTGATGGGAACAAAAGGGAAACTGTCGTCTTGCTGGATACAGGTTCAGAGCTCTCTTTTATTGGAGAGGAGCTTGCAAACGAGCTCAAGTTGCCAACATTAGGCACAGCCTCTCTCGAGCTCAGTACGTTTGGGTCACCTGCAGTGAAGACAAGAACGTGCGCCAAAACCGTTTTGAAGATGCTGGACAAAGAAGGCACACAACACGAAGTACAGCTGTACAAGAATGATTATATTACAAGCGCTGTACAGCGAGCGAACCTCGACCCTGAAGATCTACGGTTCATCAAGGAAGGAAAGTACGATTTGTCCCTGCCTGTAGAAGGTGGAGACCTGCGACCACAAATCCCCTTAGGTTGCGATTACCTTTGGAACTTCATGGAACTCAGCAGCAATTTGAACCTGCGTTCGGGACTGCACCTGATACCGACCAAGCTAGGATATATCATTAGCGGTCGACAAGGATACACGCGCCAAAGGCTGGCGGTATCATGCACACTCCAAGGACATGAAACTGAAAAGGAGACATGGGACCGCTACTGGTCTTTGGAATCCACCGGTACGGAGGAGTACACTGGTCCACAAAAAACGGAGCTCCAGAAAACAAACGAGAAAGTATTGGAAAATTTTAAGGAGTCCATCGAGAAAAGGGAGGACGGCTACTACGTACGCCTACCATGGAAAGAGAACCATCCCGAACTCCCCGATAACAAGGCGCTAGCAATGAAACGTCTTGCAAAGATCCTGGAGATATATCAAAAGGACCCGAAGACACTACAAGCGTACGACAACATCTTCAAGGAACAACAAGAGAAGGGAATAATAGAAGAAGTAATATCGAAGTACATTGATGAAGGAGAAGTAGTCTACTATTTACCGCATCAGGCGGTAATCACTCCCTCTAAGGAAACGACAAAGATGAGAATCGTCTTTGACGCGCCAGCCCACTACAAAGACTGCCCTAGCCTCAACGACGTACTCCATCAAGGCCCTCTCACCCTCCCGGATTTGGTTGGAATTCTGCTTCGATTCCGAATGCACAGTATCGCAGTGATGTCGGACATCGAAAAGGCATACCTACAAGTACGACTGCAAGAAAAGGACCGCGACGCCACCCGTTGTATTTGGGTCAGGGATATCTCACTTCCACCCACGCCGGATAACATAGTGGTCTACAGATTCACCAGAGTTACCTTCGGACTCAACGCTTCTCCCTTCCTGTTAAGCGCTACGATAGATCATCACCTAGAAACTACAGCTGATGACGACATGGCCCCGGAAATAAGAAGGAATTTGTACGTGGACAACTTATTCTTTGGTGCACAATCTTCAAACGAAGCACTTTTGAAGTATGCACACACAAAGAAGCTCTTCCAAGACCTCAAAATGAACTTGAGAGAATTTTGCTCCAACGACAAAACCTTCTGCAACGCCATTGATGAGGCCGACAAGATGAAATCCACCTCCCCCAAGGTCCTAGGCATCACATGGAATTCGGAAACGGACAAACTCATAATCAAAGGCTCGTTGGCAACCTTGAAGGGAAACGACACCAAGCGAACAGTCACACAGCAACTTGCTTCGGTGTATGATCCAATGGGATTTCTGGTGCCTCTACTACTACCTACTACCGGCAAAAATATTCATGCAGTCATTATGGAAGGAAGGATTGGACTGAGACACACCGCTTCCAGCACAATTGCGTGATCAGTGGCATCAAATAACATCAGAAATCTCCACATTTTACAAGGAGGTGAATCGACGAATCCTCAACAAATCCGATGGCCACAGACTCGTCGTCTTCACTGTTGCTAGCCAGTGCGCAATAGCAGCATGCGCATATCTCACCTCTCAAGAAGAATCCAGCATCATAATGGCAAAATCCAAAATTCCATCTATCAAAACTTCAATGACGGTTCCCAAGTTGGAAATGAATGCATTAACGCTAGGCGTGCGAATGTCCCACTTTATCTGCGATGCACTGGAACCACTTTGTAACATCAAGGAGGTTATCCTCTACACAGATTCGGATATCGTGTTAGGATGGATACACACTCCTCCATCACGTCAGAGCGCAGGCGTTTTGGTCACAAACCGACTAACAGAGATAAGGCGAATCAGCAATGACCTCCGCGGTCGAAACACGACATGTCTCTTCGGACACGTCTCAACAGCAGAAAACCCAGCTGATTGCGGAACCAGAGGACTATCATCGGAAGCGTTTCAAAATCACTTCTGGTGGACAGGACCCAGTTTCACGAGCAAGCCAGACCATTCTAAACTGAACGCAATCGAAGGATCAGAGACGACGATGATGCCAGTGGAGACGGTGACTTTGGCAGTAACAGAAAGAACATCTGAGAAGGAATTAGTCGATTTAACCAGATTTAGCACCCTCGAAAGAGCTCAGAGAGTGCTGGTCTACGTTCTGCGTTTCATACACAGATCCATAAATCATCTACCTCACGAAAGGAAGGTTGCTGTGCAAGAGCACATATCGGCACTCAAAGGAGTTTCGATGTCGCAGACTATCACGGGAGTTGAGATGCAGGAAAGCCAAATGTGCTTAATTCGCGACCACCAGAGAATTTACGTGGACGAACACCAAATTAAGTCACAAAAGGACCTGAACATTCAACGAGACGAGAGAGGAGTTTTACGCTGCTATGGACGCATGCAGCAATCCGATGTACCAATCACAGCAAAAACACCCATCTACATCGCACCTAGAACAACGTTGGCACGTCTCATCATCTCAGAGGTCCACAATCACTATCATCGTGGAATCGCCCACACAATGGCTACCGTACGCGAAAAATACTGGATATCTAAGCTCAGACAACAAGTACGAAGCCTGATTCAAAGATGCGTCCCATGCCAAAAGATGAACAATCTCCCATTTGCCTATCTCGACATGGAAGCGATGCCAGTAACAAGGGTACACCGCGCACGCCCGTTCGAGCATATAGGATTGGATTATTTCGGACCGTTGACGACATTGATAATCACGACGAATCCAATAAGGCATACGGATGCATTTTCACATGTCAAGTAACAAGGCTCATACATTTGGAGCTCGTGGGCGACATGACCACAGAAGCATTCCTCAACGCGCTTCGAAGGTTCTTTGCAAGAAGAGGAGTACCGCAAACTTTCACTTCTGACAATGCACCAACATTCCTGTTGGGGGAGCAAATCCTGAAAGACGCCACAGAAAATATAGTCAACAGCACTGAAGTAGGAAGCGAAATAGCATGGCGAGAGATTAGATGGAACCATATAACGCCTTATGCACCGTGGCAGGGTGGATTTTATGAGAGGCTTATCCGCTCCATCAAAAACTCGCTGTACAAAACGCTTGGAGTGCGAACCATCACTTTTGATGGCCTCAGGACCATGCTCACGGAGATAGAAGCGGTCTTGAACTCACGACCTCTAACTTATCAGGAGGAAAAATGGGAAGAACAACCAATACTTCGACCCATAGACTTCATTCAAAACAAGATGACTCTGGATTATCCTCTGGAGTACATAGGTAGAGAAGGACAAGACCGAATTTACCACACTCCAGAAGAAGCACAACAACTAGCTACACAACGTCAAACTGAAGCGGCGCTGAAAACATCTGTAGACCTTGACTGAAAAGTTCTGGAAAGTCTGGACTGAACAGTACCTTAAGAGCCTGAGAGAGCAGCATAAAATTCGGATGAACGAGAAGCGTGGAACAAAAAAATCGCCAAAGGAAGGAGATATCGTACTCTTGTGGGACGCAGTACAGCCCAGGAACACATGGAAAACCGCACGAATCGTACAAGTAGATGAATCTCCTCAAAAGCCGACGAGAGAAGTCGTCGTGGAAACGCCAAACAAGCGACGCTTACGACGACCTATAAATCGAGTGGTACCTCTAGAAATCGACAAAGAGGAGATCCCGCAGACTTCCTTCCCATCGGAGGCACCTGCTACTCGATATAACCTCCGTTCCAGACGTCCCACCAATTATAATGAACAGAAAGAATAAGAACCGACGCGCAGAAAAGCCCCAACCTTCGCCTCATCCGTAACATCGCTGCTCACGGTAGCTCTACTTTCATTGTGCGTGACGAAAACAGCGGGATCAAGCAGCAACGAGAGCTACCAACTCCAGTGCATTGAAGGAGGAGTGTCTCTTCTGCAAGCAAATCGACAGCCCTACGAAATTTGTGCAGAAGACTTCTGCATGGAATTCAAAACGCCGCGGCAACAGGAAATAGTAAGATTTCCCCCACAAATCACTCTGCACGAACAACTCGTCAAATGGAAAATCTTCGACGGTGAAGACGTTCACATAATGGAGACAACGTGCAAGGCAGCACCGTTTTGCGAACAGATAGACTGCACCTTCTGCGCAGTGATGGTGAGCAATCCAGAATGCTGGCCACGCACGGCTATACTAGTCACCGGATTGCTAGTATACTTGGCGATAACCATGTGCTACTGCCTGTTCCGCGTGCCAGTGCTGTTAGGAACACCGATACTCTATGGACTAAAGCTGGCAGGAATGTGCGGATGGCTGATGTTCAGGTTACTATGCCGATTGCTGAAAATCGCAACAGGCAACGACCGACGAAGAAGAAGAAGAGCATGGATGAGAGATGTTGTTCTTCTTACGATCCTCTGCATTAGTGGACTAGCAGCCGGATGCCAAGATGTTGAAGTGTTAACGCACCAGACGCAAGCGTGCACTCAATCTGGAAACGAGGAATACTGCACCGTCGACACCACAGAGATACTGAAAATCAATCCATTCAAACAAGAAGCGTGCATGAGACTTACGAGTAACCATACTAGCGTTTTGGAAATCAAGCTGGCTTGGAAGAATCTCAACCTTGTTTGCGAAAAGGAAACTCTCCTGTTCTTCAGAAGCACTAGATACGCACTAGTGGATAGCAAACGCTGCCCTCATGCCGGATCATGTGCAGGAGAAAAATGCGCAGGGATACAACGGACATCAAAGGTGAAGGAACTGCAGCGAGTCAACGATTATCCGGGTGTCACTGGATGTGTCGAGAGCTGTGGAGGACCAGGTTGCGATTGTTTTTATCCTAGCTCGGGATGCCTATATTACAGGATATACCTTGTTCCAACGGACGAGAATGTGTACGAAATCTTCAGATGTCCACGTTGGAAACAGTTCGTACACTTAAAACTAACCGTAAGCGAACAAGGTTCAGTGCAGCACAGCCACGACTTCCAGGTCATACCGAATCAACCAAAAAGCATATCATCGTTCACTATAACCCTTTCATCCCTGAGCACACCACCCACGCCGGCCTTGAATTCGATATTTCTCACAGACGGAAAGCGATACGCCACGGTGGAAGCGCACCAGGAGCCGCCGTTGGTATGTAGGACATGGGAAGATGCGCAAAACCTCACCTGTGATGTATACGAGGATTGCAAATGTGCCGCAGCCGAAACAAAAATGATGTGCGATTGCAAAGAGGTAAATCTCACTTCCCTAATCAGCACTCCACAACACCGATTGCCGATTATACGTCCTAATCTCGAATTTCGCGCTATCGATGAAAAGGTCACAGCTCGGATACCTCAACTGCCGACAGCAGAATTCATACTTCGAATGAGGAGCAAAGTTCGCATTACAGCACTACGATCCGACGCTATCTGTTCAGCGGAGAACGCCTATAGCACAGGATGCTACAACTGTGCTAAAGGAGCGATGGCAGTACTAATGTGCATCTTCAGTAGCAGCAACAAAAGCTGAGGTCGAGTGTGAAGACAGCCTATTTGTTATCCCATGCAGTCAGGAAGGGACGGAGACCAATGTCACATTCGTTGCTGATAAAGCGCAATTTTATCGGAACTGCACAGTGCGATGCGGAAAGGTTCAAACTACATTCGAGATCTCAGGTATCCTACACTACACGGGCAACTTAAATATGGCGGCGAGAAGAGTTCTACAAGGCGAAAGTGAATTATTCTCGGAGATAAACTTACCAGACTTCTCGCATCTGGCACAGACATTCTTGATGTGGTACTGTATACTAGGAGCGACAGTACTGGTAGTAATCGTTGCCTTGGTAATAACGTATTTCTATGCCTCCAATGCCTGTGTTCTGTCTGTCATCAGAACCTTTTGTCGTGTAATCTACGCGTTGTTCATATCAGCATATCATTTGCTTAAATTCTTTGTGATATTACCCTTTCGATGTCTCCGCATGCTTTGTCACTCAAAAAAGAGAAACTCGGAGAAAAAAATCCTATAAAATCAATGCACCTGCATGAGCACTCACTCTTAGTTTGCACAAAATTTCTCTCATAGTAATTTTACTCACCGTATTTATTGTTGTATGTACAATCTCGACCCTTGTAACCTTATTCATCCTGTAGACATGTCAACCGCTCAGTAGCGGAGAGCGTTTCACGTCCAACGTTTATCGCATGGCCGTAATTGTTATTCATGTCCGCATGGCTACAGCACACCGCGGGCAGTTTATGCAAGTTTCCAGTACTTCATTTATGGTAATTAACAGTTCCACACACTAACTTTGATTTCACAGGGAGAACAATCATGGATGCACAGAGAGGAAGAATGCTGCAACCATTACCGGCCATAGCTCCGTCGCCCCCGAAACCAAACGAGGAGCAAGTTCAGCAACAGATAAGGGCCTGCGCAGAGAAATGCCAAGAGTATGAAGACCATCTCAAACAAGCAAAGTTGGACTTCACCGAGCTGAGATCGGACAGATGGGAGATACCACACAACCTGATAGAATATATGGACTATATCATGAAACTGAAGGATCTTCACTCGCAACACCAGCAGGAGAAACATGAAGTTGGTATGTGGATGGACCAGCTCACACTTGCGCATGAATGGTATGAAAGACTCGTGGTGGCCAATGAAGCCCAGGAAAGAGACCGCATTCTGTACATAAAGCAGCTGGAAGAAAGCGTTATCCTGAGGCCCACAACACCAGGCGATGAGAACTATCCGGAGCCACAATCTGAGCACCGACACTACAAGAGAGAAACTGTGATACCGATAGTCGAGAAGATTAAAAGAGGATACAACGTCGTCTTGAAGGCTGAGCTGGACGAAATTCGCGATGTTGAACAAGAAATCGGTGAAGCCAGACCTGTTCAGGATCAAGCAAGAGAAGAACTGAACAACGCTATCATGGAGCTCGCGAGCGAATTTAAACAACAACAAGAAGAAACCCGGAACTGGGTGCAGCAGCAGATTGATAACGCACTGAACAAAGGAAAGGAACGAGATCTTCAGATGAATATTGAAGCACAAAGACAACACAAGTTACTTCTCAAAGAGATCTCTGATACGAAGCAGCAAATTGTCGAGCTGGCGAGGCAGATAAAGGAGAACAGACGGAAACGCCCGAGGGAAAGAAGCCCCGACAGACCTGGTCCCTCGCACTCTCCCTGGTGAGGCCGGAGTATACGAGATGTTAGTCATCTCGTAGCATATTTCTGGAGAAGGCCAGATGCTAGCACAGATGCATTGTTTTTCGGACGTCATCTGTGAAGTCGCGCGCAGCTGCAGCTAGAAGAATAGAGTCATGTATATAAGTATCGTTGCACTTGCTTGCTTCCGCCATTCGCTTTGCTCTTTAGTTTTGCCTTCTCTCAATTTGTTATATTTGTAGTTTATATCTCATTTATTCATTTTATCCATTGTTATCCATTTAATCGTGTTTATTGTTGCTATTCTTGTTAACCAGATAAAGTTTAATTACCCAAGTTTGAGGTGTGCTCGTGCGTATACGAAGTCCCGCGTGGCAATACTTTTGGTTGTGGTTTGGTATTCGAAGTCTTATAGTTCTGATATATCCCCACCACCAACCAATACATTATATATCCTATAAATAAAATGAAAAGGTACGTTGTTTACTCCGCATTACTTCGATGTATCAGGAAGACTGCAAAAGCTAGAAATGTGCTTGTACTTGCTGTTCTACGCTGGCAGTTGTAACCAAAAAGTTGGCAAGAAAATTCTAAAAAGTCCTTCTCTTGCATGTACTATCTCAAATACACGACCAGTAACGATATGATCATCTGTGAGCGTTGAAATAATCCACATCAGCAGTTACGAATATCATTAGGACTTGCCAAGATCTCATCATTTTTGGTTGCGATTTGATATAAATGTACCAAAACAAAAACTTTTTATGTGATCCGTTGCATAAACTGGAAGCAGAGAATTATGTGCAGCATCCAAGATATGAGTCACTCATGTAGAGGCTCATGCCCCGTGCAACCAAAGTCGCCTCGGGGCCAGCGCCTCCAAGAAGCGAGTTAGCGACTATCTGACTTCATATGTGAGCGACATAAGACAAACCATTTATCCTGAGAATGATTACTACCAGAAGAAAAGATAATTAGGTACTTTTCCGTTTCCGGACCCATTTTTCCGAAGAAGCATATTGCTTCTTCCCTTGTACCATATTTGGTCCCGACTTCATAGAAAGGAGTGTCAACCTTCTGCCACTTTTCAAAAAAATTTGACATGTCATTTACATGGTTCAACCAAGAGTTTGAGTTACCCTATTTAGCGACGTAAGTGTAATCTCTTTATTAGTCAATAATGGCCCCATTTTCGATTAAACTATCAAAAATGAGCGTTGTTATCATAATAACGTCATTCTGTTACTAATTAAACAGATGAGACTTACCAAGAGTAGAGAAGTGGACTGGATGCCTTTATCTGAATGACAAAACAAGCAATAGTACGGAACTTCAAGCCATCATTCATAGTCTCGTCTGGCTAAATTCGCAAGACGAAAAGTTTGAAAGACAATGCTGAATCGTGCTGAAACGATCAAGATGTTCTAATATGAGTTTCAGATTGTTTTGCTCTCGACAAAGCAATTAAACAGCCTTTAGGTAATCACAAATGCTCTTTTACCTCACCGGCAGTGGTTTCGAAAAAAAAAATGTCAAAATGGACCAGAACGTGTTAATATTTTTCTGACACGTGGCAAGAAGGCAGTCCTCGTGGAATCCATAGAAAATTATTCTTAGACTGAAGAACGTATTTTATGAGAGCTTTTTGAAAAAATGGGTCCGGATAACGGAAAAGTACCGATAATTAATTACAAAAACTAAACAACAGTGAGACGAGCATCCAGGAGAAAACAGGAAATGTTGAGGTCAGCGCCGATCACTAAACGAGCTGGGTATTTATTCAGCCCAGCTTCTTAATATGTGTCATGCTTCTATTGTGCAGTAGAACTTTGAAATTTGAAAATAACTTAAAACAGATTATCAAAAATTTTGATGTGCGCACACAAGTGCATCAGTGCAGCCTTGCAAAGTCAACTGCTGCAAACTAAGAGCGGCTGCAAATAAATGCAGCACATCATTACCGACGGTGGAAAGATCCGTCTCGGATCTATTTCCGCTAGGCTTGGCCACGAACGACATGAATTTTATGTCGCTGTGCAAGGCAACGAACGGCAAAAAAATAAAAAAATGAAGATAAAATGAAAAAAACTGAAAGAAAAGAAAAATAATATTTAAAAAAATGGAACTTATATTTCAGTTTTAAGGCTCTTTTAGCTCAGTGATCGGGAAGGATTAGCATCGAATATCATGGATGCATCAATATGTGATGAATTATGATTACAAATCTAAGAGACTAAAACGATCAAAAAATATCTATAACTGGAGATGAAAACCAAAGAAAAATATTAGGTTGGCTAGAAAGTTCTTGCGTAATTCAAACAAAATTCAATAACTTTTCAATGACTAACTAGATTCACAATCTTGTTTTCTAAAAATATTAGAAGGCCTGCGCTCCAAGATGGATGTTTAAGCGCAAGATTTCATGAGCTAGTCCCCGAGAACGAGCTCTCAAATATGGGGCTTCAAAATTTGCAATTTTGAGTTTGGTGCCAGAAAATCGCAGAGTGTCGCTAGCTAGCCGAAAAAAATCTGTAAACATTACTTATACTGCAAAAGCCCATACGTTATTTTAACAGGCTTCAAACTCGCATGGGATTACGAAAACAAAAAATTTGTGGAATTGTTTTTACTTATGATTTCGTCAATCGCTTCAAAGTTGCTCAGAAAACACACGTTTTCGCAGCCATAACTTTTTTCGGTGTATCGTTTGTTCCTACAGATCGCCGCAGGTCAGCCGCAAATTTGACGAGTGGATTACGAAAACCCGTTTTTTATGCCTTTTATTTTTTGTGCATAAATCATGTGCTGCTAAAGCTTAGTTTAGCGAAAACTGTTTGTGCAATATCGAGTACCTCAGATGCATTGTGAACATCTACTTAACATGGTTTTTGTATGTACAACATGGTTTTTGTATGTACTGGTTGTCCCATAAGTCTGTTCATAATCGGACCTTTAATTCGATTTTTTCTCAAAAACTAGGGCACCCAGTGGACTGCAAATTTGTGGCAGTATTTCTGAGTAGGGGCTATATAATTTTACCTACCATATTACCACCTATTTTCGGGGAACAGAGAACTGATTCAGGCAAAGTTTGAAAGTTGAGCGCATTATTTTTTCTTAGTTTCTAGTCATCAGAAAAATGCAGCAAGTGCATGTATAAATATACTATGAGGGGAGTATATGCTGATAAAGTGAGAAATTGGCAGAATTGTTTTGAACTAATTGTGAGATACGACGACTTTCGTTTTTTTTCAGAAATTCGGGAATTTTTTTTTGTTTTGGCTTGGAACTTGTTGCGGATTAAGCTTTTAACTAACGTGCGAACTTTTGACCATTTTGTAGAGTTTGCTTTGATGTGGCGAAGTAAACCACTTTCTATTGAAATTTCAAGAAGAACTGATTTATGTCGCTGAAAACTTAGGTATGAAAAGATTTGTAGAACAACCTAGTAGCTACTCACTGAACAGAGCCGGTAATTTTCACTATAGCGCCCTAGCTCTTGAAAAATATCAGTTTTGAGGTTTAAGAGTCAGAGACTTTAATGAGACAACCTGATATGAAGGCGAGCATATCGTACGCTAGATGTTTTTCGCAGTGCTGCTACAAAAACCAGTTCAGGTTATTTCTCGAAGTTGAAGTTCCAAAAATATTAATGGGGCAAGTTTTAGGAGACCGCCGTAAGAAAAAACCACCACGTCCTGTTTGAACAGAGGAGGTCTAAAATTAGCAGGAGTGGTAGTAATTTGGTCGAAACCAACAAATGATGTGATAGTTCAATCATGGTTACATCGTGGTAAGCATGATCATCTTTTCACGGCTACTCTGTTCAATCGGTCATACAAAATCATGAAACAAGCAAGTAACTAGCAGAAAACCATAACTGTTTTATGCTTGTTCCATTCTAAACCAAACTATGAGTTAAACAGCAGGTTAACACCACTGTTCCCTTATCAGATAGAGTAATGAAAACAGCACTTCATTTTATGAGACGCAGACGTGAAACCACCACATCATAGTTTAAAATGAAAAAGTACCCCCGACCACTTTTTCGTTTGAAACAATGATGTGTTGGTTTTGCAAGTTAAGAAGAGTGAGGGAGATCATTCTGCAACTTACTATGAGAAAGCTTACTTGTTTACAGCTTAGATAAGGTTATAGGAAGGTGCAAGGCTGGAAACGCACTGCAAATTTGGTAAAGTGCAATGATTGCCGACAAGCATGAGAATGGTTGAAGTTTCGATCTCCTCCAATGACTTTGCTTTGCAAGATAGCTCGAGGTTTCCTATTGGTTAATTCGTGGTTTCGTTGGGAAAATCATGTGAAGCTGCTGGTTAGCTGGTTTCTTGAAAACTCAGTTAACATAATGGTTTCGACTAAATTGCTACCACTCCAGTTTTTTTGCGATCTCTCCCGAGATAGTATGCCCAGACTGCAAGTTTGAGAGGGTGCATTCTATAAAGTTTTCCAATTGCTATGAAATAAATCATGTATTACGATGCATTCCATGCACATAATTTGAATTGTAGGCAAATGCAGAAGCGGCAGCCACGCCCTCAAAAAGGAATTTTTTTACAAGGCTATTTTAATTCCTCAAAAAAATTTGAAAAAATTATTTCAATTCTCTACAAGATTGAGTGAGTCATTTGAACATTTTTATAGTCCATATCGTAATTTTCAAAAATTACGCGATTCCCCGCCCGTCCCCTAGGTCCGCACTGATTAACTGCGTATCAGATCTTTTACGTAAAAAAGCATTGGAGGATCTTCAAAGAATCTCTAGACATGTAAAACTATGCGAAAGAAGGTGAGGCATGAAAAACATAACCAGAAGTTTATTTGAAGGTATTTGTATTGCAAAAACACATCCATATTCAAGACATATAGTTTCGACAAGGGAATCAGCTTTGAGATGGATCCGTCTTATCATGCCCTCGGACTATGTTTTCGTTTAGGAGAGATTGCACCAAGAATACCAATTACTGCCATTAGCTCCTTCAAATTTCTTCGATCATGCAAATCTTTGTT